AGCCGTCATGAGCCAGGAACAGTGAGTGGGCAGCGGGAGGAACGGCAGATGGCGGGAGGACATGGGTGGGCAGGCCCGAGAGCTCCAACTGCAACCTTCGGGGGCCGTTTATGCCAACACACTATCCAACTGCTCTCCCAGGAGGGAAACAAATCCCACCGTGGAGCCCCGCGCCTGCCTCTGCTCTCTCCTCAAACAGCCCGACACTCCTGCAACAATCCCTACACGAAATCTGTCATTATCACCAGACAAGCACATGGAACAGAGCAGAATGTACTTACCGACACTAAACTGTGTATCTAAAAATGGTTGCAATGGTAAATTTTGTTTCATCAATCTCACCACAACTTAAAATAAAAATTAAAAAAAGACAAATCCACAAGGGGAGAATAGGAGAAGAGATTCTGGAGGCCGGAAATCAGGCTGTTTAGTAGTTAGTTCGGCAGGCCAGCTCCAATCCGTGGAGGGAAAGCCAAGAACTGCCCCACACGTCCAGGCCAGAGGCCTCCGGGGCTCCGGAAGCAGCTCCGAAACGGAAGGAGGGGTGGGAGACTCCGTGGGTGTGTGCGGCTGAGGAGGGCCAGATACCCCGCCCCTCCCAACTGCGGAGCCAACTCACACTTCTGCAGAAATCTGGAGAGCTACTCTTTGGAAAAAGTAAATCAAAAGGTCTCTGGACTGGACTGCAAGATGGCACAGCAGAAAGTGTAAACACTGCACCAAAACCAGGGTGTAAGCGGCTCTGCTATGTACACACTGCCCACAGGGACTCCCAGGCTTCCTATGTTTCTGTGATGACAAGCAGTTCACTTTCAAAGGAAAAGGTGAGTATAATGGTTTCGAACTTTATAAGAACCGCACCAGACACTGGCCAGCAAGGGAGCACTGCCTTCAAGATTCCGAAGAAAGGGCTGGGGATTTCGCTCAGTGTTCTGCCACCTGCCTCACAACTGCAAGCACCTGAGTTCAATCCCCGGTACCCCCCCCATACTAAAGATTCTGAAGGAAAATGACTTCCAGACTAGAGTTCTACACCCTGCGGAACAGGCATCAAGCGAGAAGGGACAGTGAAAACACCTCCTGCCGCCCAGTCTCACAAACCCTACCGTCCACGCTCCCTCACTTTAGCATGTCTTTCACCTGAGGGAAAAAACAACCCAGGCTCTGCAAGAGGACGCATGGGAACAGGGAACAGAAAAGATGCGACATGAGAATGGAGGCAAAGGCAACTGCTACAACATTTGTGGAACCTGACAGGTCCCCTGCAGCGTGACTCTAGAGATCAGTGTCTGCAACGAGCCCTCTTCCTCACTCTAACTGTGAATGAGAAGCCCTCATGTTCAGGAAGGCCGGCAGCGGGTCTAAGGGGCAGTCAGAGCGGCAGGGCTACAGGTGGATGGAGGTCGTGTGCGCGAACCAGGCGGCACCTGACACGCGCCTGAGCTCTGTCCAGCTCAGCGGGCACATGGGGCTGGTGTGTAAAGAGATGAGGACGCTCTCCAAGTGTGAGAGCCACAGCAGAGTCGGGAGAGTCGGCACCACGAGAAGAGAGTGAAGTTGTCATGGTTTTCAAGGACTGGTATTTGTCAAAATAACAATTTGAACAAATTGGGTTAAATAAGATGTAACATTAATTTCATCTGTTTCTTTTTGCTCTATGGTGGCTACAAGGAAAGGTTAAATGACAAACGTGGGATGCATTATATATATTTTTGGACAGTGCACACTGACCTTGTAGAAATTTGTTCTAAGAGGCTTATAAGAAGGTATGCAAGAATCATAAACAGGTATACAGAAACTGTATGAAGGAAAAAAGGCAGTTATTAAGAGGGAAAAATTCTGAAAAGGAAACACAGTACACTATCCGTGACTATGTATACAGGCAAGTAAACAACAAATGCTGATTTAATCAAACAGCGTAGAAGAACTGGGGAAGGGAGCAGAAGGGCTGACAGCAAAGAGTTGGCTGGTGAAGAAAATGAAATCTATTACTAAATACAGGAAACGTTTAATGAATCAAAAGATAGACATTTGGAAACATGGATCTATAAAAGCTAGAATTAGCACCGCTTCAAGAAGATGGCTGTCTGTGAGGAGAACAAAGTTTGGGGAAATGGCCTGAGGTAGAAGGCAGCAAACAGCTGGATTTCACGGCAACACTGTTATGAAATTACTTGACTTCCTGAGCCATGAGGATATTCAACTTAAGATTTAAAAAAGCAGAAAAGAAGGCTGGGGATTTGTCTCAGTGGTGCCGCACCTGCCTCCCAAGCTCAAGGTCCTGAGTTCGATCCCTGGTGCCACACACGCACGCACACCCACATTCTGCTGCTCTACTTATTTATTTATAAAAGTATAAAATGGCAGGCAGGGGTTTCTGACTTCTATTAGAGTCTAGCTAATAACTTAAAAGCACATCAACATAGACTTAGATCAAACAAATTAACCCAGCAGGCAAACATCTGACCCATCATTTATGGACGAGGGGAAGCGAGCAGGGAAATGCTACAGACCCAGCGTGGAGAGACAGAGGGGAAATAAATCTAAGTCTCAGTGTTTTTCTACTTATTCTTGGAAGCATTTAGCCACAGGTACAAAGTTCTCCCGTAAAGTGAAATAATCCGGTGAGTCCCAAGCGCCCAGACGAAGATGGAAGAAATCCTCTACGGGGAGAGAAGTCCCAGGAGAAACAATGTGCGCTCCGAGCAAAGGAAGCCAAACACCCACAGAGTCACAGCTGACTTCATTCAGACGGGGGTTATTAGTATGTATTTTTCTTGCGGGTGGGAGGGCATTTTGGAGATGTCATTTAATAAAGATCCTGGGCAAGTAAGAGGTGTTCACATATTAATTTTAAAATAGATTTTGCAATTATACTCATAAAACGCACAGATCTTTTTTTTCCCCCACTGAGTTTATTGGTGCTTTTTAGGTAGACAGTACAGTTACAGTCATCACTGGGATCGTGTACCTTTCCGTGACAGGTCTTGGTTCTCATTTTTCCCCCACACCCCTACCCTCCCTCACCCTAATGCACAGATCCTAAGTTTTCCTCACTAACTCTGAAGTATGATTTACGTATTAAAAACAGCCACACTGTAAGTGTTGAGTTTGGTGAATTTTAAGCAATGTTTTACCCACCTAATAATCAGCGCAACCATGTCTATCACCCCAGCAAGCTCCCGAGTGCTGCTGTCCCCATCAACAAACCCCTGCCCTGGCTGTCGCCAAAGCAAACACGGACCTGCTTTGTGCCCATCAGGTGGTTCACAGTCATGGAGCCCAATCTGTTTTCACAAAGCTGTTCTTAATACTCCTTACGATGGGGGGGTTCCCTTCTTTCCTACAGATAAAGCTGATAATTGGTGTCTTTTCTTCCTTGACCAGTTCAGCTAGAGATTAATCAGTTTTACTGATCTTTACTGGCTGATTTTCTTATCTGCTTTGTGTTTCACAGATTTCGACCCATATCTTTATAATTTCTTCCCTTCTTATCTGTGGATTTGATTTTTTCTAATCTCTCAAGATAAAAGCCTAGATATCAGAACTTTGTTTTTTGTTCGTTTGTTTTTAGTACCGGGGATCAAACTTGGAACCTTGCGCTTGCAAGGCAGACAGTGGAACCACTGAGCTAAATCACTGGCTCCACTTTTTTTTAAAAGTATAAATATTTAGTACTATAAAATTTCCTCTAACATTGCTTTGGCTGCATCCTACCAGTTGATTTCCATTTACTTCAAAATGTATTCTATTTGTGCGTGCGTGTGGGGGGGGGTTTAAGGTTATCTAGAAGTATACCAATTTCTAAATATTTGGAGTATTTCCTAGATAATGTGATTGATTTCTAATTGAATTATGGTGGGTCATAAAATTTTATTTGCTCAGAGCCATCCTTTAAAATTTATTAAGACTTCTATAAACACAGAAGTGCTCTAAAAAGAAAGCATTAATATCTTTATTGAGATTGGTTTCATGATACACAATATGGTCTATGTTTAAATATTTCGAAGTGCAATTTAAAAAGCGTTGTTTGAGTGCTTTCTCAATGTCAGGTTAAGAAGCAGGGTGATGGTATTAAGCCCACCAAGTCTCACCAACATCGTTTTATTGACTGCTGAGAGAAGCACGTCGAGACCCATTTCATTACCAGTGCTGGACTTTCCTTCCCGTCGTCCTGCTGGTTTCCGCTTCACTTACTTGGAAGTTTTGCTGTGAGGTGAGGTGAATGTTTAGGACTGCATGTCTGCTTTAGGAACCGAGCCCTTCTCATCGTCATGAAACCTCTCCCTTTATCTAAGAATCTACTGTGAGAGAAACAGAGCAGCTGTTCACCTTTCTTGATCAGAGTACCTGTGATTTATCTTCTTTATCCTTATACCTAGACTTAACCAATAAATTACTTTCAAAGTGACATTCTCATAGCATATAGTTTGGTCATGCTTATGTCTAATTTTACAATCCTCATTCTTTAATTCAGTTATTTAGATCTTTCGCATTTAATACAGTCATTGACACAGCTGGATTTAAATTTACCATTTTGCTAACTGTTTAGTTGTTTTGTATTTGGCCCATTTGATCTTTGTTCCTTTTTTCCTGCCTTCTTTTCCCTTCTCCCTTGCTTCTACCTTCCCTTCCTTTCTTTGTATTACAGCTTATCTTCACTGGTGGCAGTTAGCCTTTTTCTTTTCTTCTTTCTTTCTTTTTTTTTTTTTTTTTTTTTTTTTTTTTTTTTTTGTGATTTTTTTTTTTTTTTTTTTTTTTTTTTCTTTTTTTTTTGGTAGGCACCGGCACTACTGAGCTAAATCCCCGGCCCAGTTAGACTTTTTCTTACATTTCAAGCAGTTCAATAGGGTTTACAAAATAGATTTAATACCTAATGGTCCACCTTCAGATAATAATCACACCCATGAACAAGGTAAGGAAAGTGTGTTCTGTTCCCTCCCACTAATTCTTCCTGCTACGGCTATGTTTTACTTGTTAAAAAATCACAATATATTTTGTTTTGTTTTTGTTTTTTGAGACAGGGTCTCACTACGTAGTTGAGACTGACCTGGAACGCACTGTGTAGCCCAGGCTGGTCTCAAACTCACAGCGATCCTCCTGCCTCAGCCTCCCAAGTGCCGGGATTACAGGCGTGCACCATCACACCCGGCTCACGATATATTTTTATTTTTGCTTCAAACTATTATCTCTTGTACTTGTAAAGTGAGGGAAGTGTACTTCACGCTGCCCCTTGGGTAGCACTGCTCAGGCATTTGCATAGATCTAAATTTTCATCTTTATCATTTCCTTTCTGCTTCAAGGACTTCCTTTAGTATTACTAGCCTGCTGGCAAAACAACTATTCTGGTTTTTTCCTTCCTCAAAAAAAATGGTTTGCTTTCATTTTTAAAAGCTTTTCATTGGATAGACTTGTGATGGGTTTTTTTTTTTTTCAGCATTTTCAAGATGTCATTCCACTGTTTTTGCATTTGAAGTATTGGATACAAAGCTGGAGCTATTTTTA